AGTAAGCAAAGTGAAATATTGGGTTGTGTGGATGTGGATAACTGCAGGTAAATAGGGTGTATATGGGTTTTGTTGGTGAAGCTGATGGTTATGGTTATAAATACATACAGAAGCTGCAGTGGTTCCATTTTATTGCATAATATTTCCTTAATGTGGTATTGTTTTGATTTAATTTGTAGTGGTATTAGAACACCACAAGCAATTTCCTTTGGGTTTTCTGAGCTACATTCAAATTCTTTGATTTTGAGGTTTTCTATACCTATAACCTAAACCATACCTAATTTATACTTAATTATTTTGTTTGCTATTTCTTTAAAAGCTTAGTTCCATTAATTCAATCACTGAAGTTTTGGGTATGCAAACAAGCAGTGATAAATCCATTTTGGGGGGAAAGTTGGACTTGTTTTATTCTACTCTGTAACATCTGTAAAGACTGGCCAGTTTGCTGTTATGTGTTGTCCTGCTTTTGAAAAGTTTACAGTCTGTGGTAAATATTAAAGAAATCTGAAGTTTGCTTTTCAAAAACTTTGTTGTGATTACAGGGTTCAGTTTGGCAGCGCCTTGGTGCAGATGTGACAGCTGTTGAGTTCATGGGCCATGTTGGTGGAATGGGAATTGACATGGAGATCTCTAAAAACTTCCAACGTATTCTTCAGAAACAGGGACTTAAGTTTAAACTGAACACCAAAGTTACTGGTGCTACCAAGAAACCAGATGGAAAAATTGATGTAGCGTAAGTGTTGAACATAAAACTAAGGAATACCATATATATTCTTCTTCCCAGTCCATCAAAGCTATTTAAAAATACAGCCTGATACTATTTTTGAAACAGGAAAAAATGGATTTGGGTTGAAACTCAATTCTTCAAGGAAATTGAATTTTCATCCTGTATTGTAACTTACAGAGCTCATAATTTTGGGCTTATTGAGTCCTAGATTGTTTATACAGCAGAGGTTCCATTAAAGACAAAGATGCACTTGAGGGATGCACCTGATGCAGGGCAGCTGCTAACAGGTGTTTGGTTCTTGGGTCAGGAGAAAGCTTGCTCAGAATACATGGCCCTACCTCACCCCAAAATAGATATAGTTTGGATGTTGAATACTCAGCACCAATTATTTTGCTGTACAGATCTGGTCCTATCAGGTCATGCTACTTATTAGCGGATACATACCCCGAATTTCTGTATCTAAGAGTTTCTATCAAATGTAGTGAGGGTTATTGCCCCTTCTGCCCTCTTCTCAACTCTTGTAAGGAAGAAGCGTGGGGCAGGCTGAATGCACGTGTTTGGGATGCCAGGTCCAGCCAGGAGGTCGCCATCTGGATCATACTAGTTACTCATTGGAGAAATACTATGCTGAAAGTTTACAGCTTAGCATTTTTGCTACTTATTTTTCTATAGGGTTGAAGCTGCTGCTGGTGGCAAGGCAGAAGTAATAACTTGTGATGTGCTCCTAGTTTGCATCGGTAGACGTCCTTTTACAAAAAATCTAGGTCTTGAGGATATCGGAATTGAACTTGATAAGAGGGGGAGAATCCCAGTCAATAACAGATTCCAAACCAAAATTCCAAAGTGAGTAAGACTAAATATTTTTTTTACTTAAGCAGAACTCTTATTTTTAAGTGTTTGACCTATTAAAGGACTTTTTTTGGTTTTAATTGCAGAATGTAGCTTCCTTTTCTGAAAGGAAACCCCAAGATTTCTGTTTATTTCAGGAACTAAAGATTTTTAGTCAACCTCTGAAGTTGTGTAATTTGAGAGTCACTGTGTGCATTTCATGTCACTAGTACATCTTGAAGTGTGGTGGTGCAGTGGAAACTGCTCTTTTATACTTTGTATTTCTTTTGAAACTTAGTATTTTAATCTGTTGATTAGAGTTTTCAGTAACATGTTTCAAACTGACTATTATATAAGGTAGCCTAGGTGTGCTAGGATGTTTTTAAACAGTGTCTTATTCTGTTTCATTGGTCTGATAGCATCTATGCTATTGGTGATGTAGTTGCTGGACCTATGCTGGCCCACAAAGCTGAGGATGAAGGCATTCTTTGTGTAGAAGGGATGGCTGGGGGAGCAGTTCACATTGACTATAACTGCGTACCCTCTGTGATATACACTCACCCTGAAGTGGCCTGGGTTGGCAAATCAGAGGAACAGCTGAAAGAAGAGGTACTGTTTGTTTTCTTCTCGGACAAAACTGTTTTTTCATCTTGGGTGTGGTTTCGTTGTCTAGTAGTTGTATCCCTCTTGCATGCCACTCTCCCAAGAATCACAGTTCTTTTTAACGACTTCTGTGAAGTTAATATTGCTCATTTACTAATTAATACCTCCTTACACCCCTTTTGGTGGTTGTTCTTATGCATTGCTCTGTGTGTCTTATGTGTCTTTTGTTTTTGTATTGCTTCTGTTCTTGTACCTATCAAATTGTCTGTATGGTCACGTTCTTGTTGGTCATTAACTCAGTAACACATATCTGTTTTGTAGGGTGTAGAATACAAAATTGGGAAATTTCCATTTGCTGCAAACAGTAGAGCAAAGACAAATGCTGACACAGATGGCATGGTGAAGATACTTAGTCAAAAATCAACAGACAGGATGTTGGGTGCTCACATTTTAGGCGCAGTAAGTATTGTAAATTGTGCTGCTGTCTTGGCCTTGAAAGGCCAAGTGTTTATTTAGTGTTGCACGTTGCAAAGTAGTTGTCAAATTAGGAGAAGTGGTGCTTGTAAAAAGAAAGAAGATTTGCGTCTACTATAATAATTTTTATTTACTGTTGTCTTCTGCAGCCCTACCCTCCTTCCAACTTTTCTGCTACTTTCATGTTAGACCCAGCATTTTTTTCGCTAGAATTGCTAGAGTTAATTGGTTTCTCTGACCAGTTTTGGTTTTGTTTTATGAATACTGCCAAATACTCCAGAGAACAGCAGTAAGTGTTGACTCAAGTTCTGGAAGCTGAGGGAGCTGAACAGACTGTGGCTTTTTTTGTTGGTGTTTTATTTTTTTATCTCTGAACTGGTAAACCTAGTAACCTTATGTTGCAGTCAGCAAATCTGGGGTCAGTAACATACAGAACTTTGATTAAAAATCCTTTGTGTAAAGATGAAAAATCAGAAAATTCTATTTGGGAAAAGTATCATTTTCCGCTCTCCCACACATTCCAAAGTTAGACCCTAATCTCTCTCTGTTTTATTTCTTAACTTTAAATGATCTTCCCCCCTCTGCCCCCTGCAAATGTATACAGAAACACTTCCGCGCATCTTTTTATACAGCTTTCTTTGAGAGACACTAAAACTGCTCTCCGTTTTCCTGGAAAGGAAATTTTATTCCTATGAATGGGTATACTGTTTCTGAATCTGATTCTTGTAATTTCTCATAGGAATACATAATAAGACGTTATGATAGTTATTTTCTCTCACAATGCCAGTCATTTAAAAATCAACATGGCTTAAAGTAAGCTTAACTGAACTTTATTGGTGTGAGACAGACAAATTTTCTTCATTGGGAAAGGGCTGGGGGAAAATCTTACAAATGTGGATCTGAATGTGAAAAATGTACCAGGAGCTTTCACTATTTTTGAGTCCTCAAAGCAATGTAAATATACATAAATACAACAAATAAAAATGAGGGAGCAGATGTGGTAACATTCTTTTGTTTATCTAGTTACGTATTTAACTTCCCAGGAGGGCACTGAAGTTTTGGGGAGGTTTCAGCAGTGATAATGTACCTTGTAGCTTTGAGAATGTGGGTATTACCTGACCGGTATCTTGTAGTAGAAGAATGCCCAGATTTTGCACAACTTTCAGTAATGAGAGAACAAATACTCTCATTAAGAATTATGTTTAGATTTACACTAGGCTTGAGCATGGTCACCAAATAGATTAAGTACTTATGACTTGTGTTGGAACACAGCTGAGGTACTAGTTACAACACAATTTTTATTTTCTAGCAAAAAGATGCTTATTTACAAGCTGTTAGCAATTCAGGAGAACCTGGACAACTGCATAGAGACTTGTGCTAATTACAAATACCATTGAATTACAGGGTGCTGGCGAAATGGTTAACGAAGCTGCCCTTGCTATGGAATATGGAGCATCATGTGAAGATGTAGCCAGAGTCTGCCATGCCCATCCAGTAAGTTTTTTCTAAACGGACTGTTGAGTGCCAGGGTTGCACAGACATGCTATCGTTACATGGAACTATTAATGACTGGTACCTTTTTGTGTTTGCTCTCTTACAGACAGTGTCAGAAGCCTTCAGGGAAGCAAACCTAGCAGCATCTTTTGGCAAAGCTATCAACTTCTAAAGTGAAAGAGCAGATCTTTGTACACGTATAATACATCTCTGAAAACGCACTGTGGGCCCTTATGGAAGGCTGAGTCTGAGGATTTTAGGACTGAATTAAGTGAATCTCTTCATTTTAAACATCAAATATTTAAAAAAGTAGAGTTTGGAACAAGTGGAATTATCCAGCCTCTGTAAATTAAATACTTAAAATTACATGTTTATTTACATGATGAATGTTGCAGAAAAACAGCCTGACAGAACTCTTCTCTTTTTCAAAACCAAACATTTTGTTGCTGCATGGGATTATCAGGTGTGCTGGTCAAACTCTGCATAAGTGTCCAGCATACCTGCTGTTTTCTTATTTGAAGTAGTGATAAACTAAACCAGTTGAATGCTGGCACTTATAATGCCACTGGCACTTAAAATGCCACTGTCACTTCCGCACAAAAATGCGTTTCCTTCTCAAAGAATTAACTTTGGTATTTAACCTACTTCTGACATACAAGTACCAAAACGTGTTTTGACCTAGTGTAGTGTTAGGGTGTTGGGAGAAGAGGGGCTTGTATAGATCAATTAAAACCATATTGACTTTTTAAAGAGAAAATTACTCTGTGTGTGTGTGATTCTCCACACATCATGTTTTCACATTGAAAACTCATCAGGGGAAAAATTGAGTGCCAAAGGAGAAACAAAAGATCGAAGAAAAAATTAATCTTTCTGCTACTTAATCTTTTTTCGGTTTCAAAGCTTCCGTTGTCCAACTCTCTTAAACGTGAAACGCTAGAACTGGGTAGTGAAGCAGCACTTGCTGTTAAGTGCTATGACATGAGAGTTACTCCGCACCTTCCACACCCAAGGGCTGCAGTGTCGGCTCTCCACACAATTAGGACATACTGTCTTCTCCTCTTCTTTCATTTTTTATTTTGTGCTCTCTGTCGCTTTGTAGCAAGAGAGCTTAATAAATATTTAAGGTTGCTGGAGGGTCTTGGGTTTTGTTTGCTGATCAGCCCCTTTACTCCTTTTAGTGTCTAGATTGTTTTGAGTTTCTTCATGTATTCAACAAAGGGCATCTTTGGAATATCCCTAATGTGTATAGGGAGTGTGCCCAATTCCAGTAGCTCATTTTCAGTTTTGTTTTGCAGGGTGCCATCTCATTTGTCTGGGCTCTTCTGCCCTGAAGAAAGCCTTAGTATCTGCTGATACTGTGTGCTTCCTTTTTCATTGTGCCAATGGCGTGATAGATGAGAAATGTGCGTTCAGAAAACAGTGCAAAAGCTACTTGGTGGTGTGTATAGACAAGATGGTTGTATCCTCCTGCCTTTCTTTAGAGCTTCTCATTAAGTATTGATCCAGTATCCATACCAAGCGATGGAAATACATGCCAATGTTACCATTTTATTAAGATACCAGTTAATCAACGGACACCAGTGATACTGTTCTTCATTTTGGTTTGTTTGGGTTTTTAACTCCTGTTTTAAGTGTAGATGGGGCTAAACCATGACAGCTCGTTAAAGTTATCACCAGGCTTTGAGATGACCCAGCATATCTGCGAATCGGAGTAAGTGAATTAATGTGGATCTGCTTTCAGGTGTTAGTAGGAAGTTGCTGAAGGGAAAGCAAGGGTGAGACAATACCAAGGGAATTAAAACTTGATTCTTCTGATAGATCTAGGCATTTTGGAATCACTTCTGCCTGCTGCAGGTAAATGTTACTAAGTGTTAGTCTGGTGCTTCGCAACTTCTTCCTAGAAGCCCTGCTCTTTCAGAAACAGCTTTGTGTCCACTCCCCCCACCTCCCTCAGTACTTGTGGCAGTCTTAATGCAGTTCAGCCTTGGGGTTCTACAAATTCTCGTATCTCATTTTATTCATGTTGAATGAAGTTTGGAAAGTCAGGGAAACTGTAATCAAGAATACTACTACAATTTGACTGGAGACTATAGCATCCCAGACAGTTGAAAATAAAATTCGAGGCCTTAAGATTGTTCCTGTATTGTTACTTCTCACTGTCATTCTTGTTCTAGTTAAGTGTACAAAGAGTGTAAAGGTAAAAGTAAGATGAGCTACTGAGTTTGCAGATTTGTATTTTTAACAGCTGCTAAGTATACCGGCAGTGAAATGGTGTATGATGCTGGTAATCAGTTCCTATGATGGATTTTTTTTTACTCTGGCATTTGTAACCTATGGAGCTTAAGGGTAATTATTTATTTAAGCATACAGCTCCTCAGTTTGCTCAGGTGGTGATATATTCTGCCAGAGTTGTCCTGACTAACTTTGGCTGGCGCTAGTCAAGGTTAGGCAAGGTGCTGATCAAAGTATATATGCAGATGTATTCCTCAGGTCAGAATTAGCAGTTGGGATGTGTAAGTGCATGTTGCAGTTTCGGATGCTAATTTGTGTAGCTGATGACTGTTGTAAATTTTTGCGGTTCTATACAGTTGTCTGAAGGTGCACTGTTCTACATAACTTTGAGCTAACATATGGTGAACTGGGTGTTACTCTTGCACTTTGAAAAGTCTTGTTTGTGTTTTGCTAAGTGTGAGCTGTTCTTAGAGAGCAACGTCTGCGTACAGCTCATTAACTGATTCACGTTAAGTGCCCTGTGAACTCTTGTAGTTCCTTTTTCAGAGAGGCTTGATCCTCCAAGCTTGGTTTATCACGTAAATCTGGTGCTTGAAATGTAAACCACACTCACCCCTTCAGTACTGACCTCTGTTTCCACTTCACACATCAAGTGTTTCATAATCAGTGACACAAAACTAGTGTTAAGCCTAAATAGATATCACGCAGAAGGTAAATCCTTTCTGAGCACTGTGGTTTAAATGCTAGCTAACTGCACAGGGACAGTGTTTCTTCATTCACTTGTCATTTTGTTCTGAGTGACCATCCTATATTTCATAGTAATTAGAGCCCTTATTTAGAATTACAGAGTTGGAGCCAAGATTTTATTAGATCTCTAACCAGTTTAAAAACAAGAATTTCTAAAGGATTAATTGATTTACTATTTCAGCTACTGAAAATAGGAAGGAACTTAATGAGTCATACTAGGTACATACAGTGATACAAAAGTACTGTTTATTTTCAACATCAAAAAGTTACTTGTCTTTGGTTCCGTGACTTGAAAGTCGATATAAAACCTGTTTGCTTTATCAACTCTTAGTGTAATGTCAAAAAGAACTAGTGTAATACTCGTAAAATCCATCCTGAACACAAGCATTTCCTGTTCCCATTTATAAGCAAGTGCTATAAACAGCAACCTTCTGGCTGATAGTCTGTAAGAGGGAGCGAACTGTCTCTTCCAGCTCCACCAACTGCTTGGCTTTATCTTCTAGAACTCTTTGATTGTTTTCATATGTATTTTCCAAGTCTGTCAGCAAAGGAAGGGGGGGGGGGGAAAGGTTAATTAGGGGTGTTTTAATGCAGAAAAATATAAATCGTTATTGTTACAGATAAGCTACTACTCAAACTTACTTTTATTGCGGAAGAGAATCTGATTAGAAAAGAAAAAGGGGGGGCTGGAATGGCACCTCTTTGTTTCCTTAACACTGGGACATAAAGCAACAAGGAAGTAATTTTCCGTAAGTGGAAATCCAAAAGTATACTTTGATGTTGAAAATAACTGTCATTCTCTGCTGTGTGGTGGCTTTTACAGAACAGTGAAATGCTTTGGCTTGTTATGGTTAAGACTATTCAATGCGTCTTCGTAACTGCGCAGGAGCAGCTAAGGGGAAGAATGAGTTCCTGGCCTGGCAAAAACAGAAGGAAAACTTAGCTCCCTCCCTGGTAGTTACGGGCAGATTGCCCCCTCCTGTTTCAGTCTAATTGGCAATGGGAAATGTGAAACTCATCTGTAAACTGACGTTATCCTGATTACCTTTTGTTTTAGTAGCTTTCCAGGGTGGGGTGGGGGTAGTATTGTTTGAAGATGGGGCATCTTGTTGAAATGGGTTAGTCCTCATCCTAAGCATGGTAGTAGCTACGTTCCTTCCCTGTAGTGGTTCTTGGAGCAGTGATAGGTGCCGTAACAGAAGTTTATGTCTCACTGTAAGTTTCAGCTTTTTAATAGAAACCTCTGATTCAGAAGACTATGTTGTGTCCATAAGAATAAGGAAAGCAAACCAAACCTCAGTAACAAAGAATTAACTTCCACTTTTTCCTCTACTGCTGATGAACAGTTGGTTTAACAGCATGACCACTTCATATTCTGATGACTTACCTCCTCAGCATAGCCTTACCTTTGAGCAGCTGGAGTTTGCTGTTTGCTTGAGCCAGCAAGGCTTTAGCTTCATCTTGCAACATGCCGGCTTTCCTCCTAGCATCAGCTGACTCTTCTGTCTTCTTGGCCATCAGATCTTCCACTATTCTATACTTGTCGTTCAGCTCGGTATTGAGGACCTGTTGTTCCAGATTCAAGCACAAGATGGAGCTCATTCAAAAGACAATGCCGGGGGAGTTTGCATTTCCTACCTCTTGTCTTTACTAATCTGGGTGTAAGGAGAGACTACACTGTTAGCTCAGTTAACAAAAGCAGAAACAGCATTGGGGTATTTTTGCTTAATATTCAGGACTCTAAGAGTTGTGGTGAAGATTCCTCAGTTGCCCTTTTGCAGATCTTGGCTGGTTTATGGCTTTAATACTCACACTTGGCAGGGATTTATGGGATTCAGTTACGCAATTCTGTAACTAATGGAAGCCGTGGCCCCTAGTACAGCTGGAAAGCTGCGTATGGTGAGGGACTGGCACTGCTTCTGGTTGAATGCTCGTGTCTGGGGAGGAATGCCCTCATTACTCTCTCGGCAACGAGAACAGCTGCCTGGTTTGTGTAGGTGAAGATGCTGGAGAAGTCATGAGGTTGGTTTCTCAGCTGTGCGTTTCTCGCGAGGTTAAGATTATGAAGCCCTATGACCCAACCGAATTCAACCACCAAGCAAGTTAACGGGCTGTAGCAGTACTGAAGTCTCTTGTGTTTACTTGACAGCCACCTGAAATACTACTTAAGTGTTTGGGAGGAATTGATTCGATGGATAATACATGTCTCCTGGCAGCAAATGCCTCTCTGCTGACTGACGGGCTAACTACAGATTGAAGCAATGAAACTTCCTTTGGCAGGTTTATCAATTGTTTTGTTAATGAGCATTCTTTTGCCGTTACGAAGGTGTGTAGCAGACATTGGGAGCGATGCCGTATGGTCACAGAGAAAATTCTGCATGTCTGATATTGAGAAATTACTCTGGTTTTATTTTGAGCCAAGGTTTTTTCTTGTTGCTCAATTCTGTATATGCCAAATTATGGATTGTTTGTCCTGAACCTACTGTTGTCATAGAACCATAAATACTCTGTGGAAGGGAAAAAAAATTACCAGTTGTCCTGTAGCAGATAGTAAAGCTGAGGGACAGAAACAAATCTGTGAAAGGCTGACAGCATGGCGGGTTGCCTGCTGCTATTTTAGAACCTGAAAACTTCCCAATACTTCTTTCTCAAGAAAGTAAAAAGCAGCTAACTTTGGTAAGTGCATTAAGTGGGTTGGGTTTTTTTGTCCCCAGTACTTCACCAATAGATGAAATGGATCACGTGTATTTGCTAATGTTCCTTTAGCCAAACCTTGGGTGAGAGGTTTTTTGGCTTTCCTTCAGCATCTTTCCTGAGCTTCTCACCTTTTTAACTTCTTCAGCATTTTGTTTTGCAGTAACAATTTTTTCTTCTATATTGTCCACATTCTCTGAATTTGTAGCAGCCTTTTGCTTGAGATCTTCAACACTCTTCTCAAGCTCAAACAGACGTAAGGTAGCATTGCTCAGTGTTTCTTCAGATGCTGCATTTTCAGATTCAATCTAAGAAAGAGGGACATCAGGTAGTTACGTTTTTAAAAGACACTGAACATAATAGCAGGCTTTCTAGTTAAGCCCTGATCAACTAATCAGTTCACATCCATAAATCTGATACAAAAACTAGTGTTTTAGTTTTGTTACTAAGGGCCAATTGCAGTCAGGATGAAAGAGCCCACTGCTTGAAGATGGGGTACATGTAGGCTTGCAAAAGCATTAAGGAACATGGTTAAAAACCACCTGATTGCATTACACATGCAAGAGTTGCTTCATCCAGGCAAAACTGAGGTCTGACATTTGACTCCGTCATGTAACAGACTTGTGAAGCTGCGTATCTTCTAAGCTGGCCAAGGCTAACGGGTACAGATAGCACTATGGTCTCATGGGGGCTTCGAGATGAAGTCTGAAAATGTTATCTGACAAGACTACAGCAATTATCACTTTAATTCAGCTCGTGCTGCAGCGGTGGATGACACTGGCAGCACAGCTACACCAATACGCTACCAGGGTGGTTGACAAGTACCGCTTCCCAGGGATCGTGGCACACCCGCTGTGTTAGAGGGCTACAATCCTGCTCCTTTAATTTCAGTGGTGGATGACAGGGGGTGGAGAAAGCTTTTTGTTTCTGTTGGGGTTTTTTTTTGTTGTTTGTTGGTGGTTTGTTTTTTTTTTTTTAAGGGAACGGTCCCCTAGCATCTGTCATACTAACTCAAAAGTTTATGTGAAGACAAGAATGGTTTAGTGCAGTCTTTGATTTGCAGCACCCAATAGCCTTCCCTAGACAGGCCTACATCAGTTTCTAAATATCAGGCTTGGTGCTGTTTCTGTATCTTAAAAAATACTCTTAAAGAACTCACTGAGGTCAGCAGGTCTTGAGTTCCTTTAATGTCTTCATCAGCTTGTTTGATGGCTTTTTCAGCTGCATTTTGAGCTTTTTCAGCTTCTTCCAGTGCTGCTTTCACCATGTCTGCAGTGACTTTAACATCTGTTGCACCTTTGCTGTGGAACAAACCTATGTTAACGCTAAAAATGCTTTTACTTGGAACTGGAGGAAGAACTGGTCATACACTGCAAAGGGCCATTTTTGCCCCTCCATGAAGGAATGAGAATCTACATCAGGGTAAGTTAAACTCTGCATTTTCTGATACAATGAAATGAAAGTCTCATTCGAGCTGGAAAACAGCCAATACAGAACAGGGTTGCATACCTTGCTTTTTTAGCTTCCTCCAGTAGCATTTCTGCTCTGGCAATGTCTCCAGCGCTCTGCTGCAGAATGACCTCAACATCAGAAAGGCTTCCTATACGCTCACGAATATCTTCTGTCAGGGCTTGCAGCTGCTGGGGAGTGCTTGGCATCTCCATGTTCAGCACTTCATTAGCCACTGCCTCGATGCTATCCAGGTCAGCGCTGTCTTCTAGTAGATGGACACAAATGATAAAGATATAAGTAACAGCTTCCCCCTGTTATGTCTTGGTACTTAAATTCCTGTTCAACTGCTCCTTTAAGAAGGAAAATAATGGGAAAACTTCCCCCACCACCCCCACCCCCGGGACTTACAGAAAATCAAGGTGTTAAAACTGCTTCCTTAGGGTGAAACTTCCCTCTGGGGAGAGGCCCAGCAGGCGCGTAGGCCCTGCTGGCATAGCTCTCCTGGAAGCCATTTGAAGATCTCGGTGATTAGCTACACCACGCTGAGGCTGTGGGGGGGAGATGCGAGCCCACAGGAAACGAAGCCAACAGCTGCACATAAATGTATTTGTGCTAACAGTACGCTCAGCCCTGTGCAAACAGGGAAGGAATGGGTTTGCCGTGCCGCTGCTTGCTAGCGAACAAGGCCCTCATTTAACCTCTACCTGCCTTCTTACGGAGAGATAAACTCAGTTTCTGACTTTCCTCCCCTTTCGATAGTATTTTGTGTTCATAAGTTCTGGCTAGAAAGACACTTGGCAAGCTACAGCAGTACCACAGCCTCAGCTGAAACGAGCACAACAACGTGCTACAGTTTGCGCTCGCTTTCCTATTGTCTGGGTTTTCTCTTGGTTCCAGATTCCATCGTACATGCTAAGTCTGGCTGAAAGCGGGAGGGGGACACACAGCTATTGCATTATGCCTTAGAAGATGATTCAGAGCTAAAGATAGTTTTCACAAACCCAGAATTAAAACACAATTTAAGGTTTTTACGCATTAGGAAGTCTCTAATCTGTTTAATAAGATTTCTTAGATCTTCATTGCTTCTGTCCACTTGTTCTTTTGTAGCATTGGTTTTCAGCAAAACTTCTTGTGCATTTTGTTTCGCTTCATCAGCTCTCTGTTTTGCCTCAGAAACCTAAAGATGAAAATAGAAGGCTCGATTGTGTATTTGGTTATGCTTTAAAGCCTGGTTTAAAACAAAAATTCAGTTGGAGTCAGAGGCGATAGTAATGAGAAATGCTTTTTCTCATAAAACTCACAGAACACTTTTAAAAGCTGGCCATGATCCATACCACCAGTGCTAGTTTAAACAACTCGGGCTAATGTTTAGAGTTATCCATGAAGTTCCACTTTAGCAAGCTCCTCTTCTGAGGATCTTTACAAGCATGATGAAGTTACACAACTGAACAGAATTATTTTGAAGTAAGCCAGGCACATACTTCGTCAATTAGTGTCTGAATGTATATTACAACTGAAAGATTATTTTTTTTAATATCTAACAATTAATTTGGCATATTACCATTCTGGAGAGTTGCTCAACTTCTGCTAATGCACTGAGGATGTCTCTGTCAAAATCCATGGCTTTCTGCCAGGCGTTGTGAGCTACGGTCACCAGCCCGTCACAGCCTGGTCCTCCGCACTTCTTCTTTCCATCGTCGGTTCGACAGTTTAAACCTCCACACTCGGACTCGGCGCAAGAGGCTCCGGCGGGAGTGCCACACGTCTGCAGAGACATGTTAGACAAAGGAAACAGTCATGGCTTTATCTCCATTGCTGAGCTGCAGGGGGGGACGGAGCAGGACGCTGCTCTACCATGACGGAAGCGTGATGTTGTTTCTGCCTGTTGCAGTAGCATCCCAAGTACCAGAGGGAAGGGCGCTGAAGTAGAGCTGCGCACTGGAGGTGGTTCCTGCAGCAGCTCCATACCAGTGCGACTTTCTTCTGTGCCCCCTGCACCCTCCTGCCTTTAATTTGGTTACAAACACACAGCTCCCTGATGCTGAAGTAGCTGGAGTTTATGAGGGAAGCCTTGCCTTGCTTTCATCATCCACTTTTCCTGTGGATCATCTTTCACTGGAAAGCTGCCTTCAAGCTTTGGTTTCAAGCTGGAAGCTACTACTGTCTGTATGCCTTTTGTTTGCAATCAGTCTTCACTACTGTTGGAGGAAAAACTGGCCATCCCAAGAAGCTATGTAACAAGGAAGAAAGTTGTTTGGTGCAGAGTAGTATCTTTTCCTTTGCTCTAATGCCCTAGAAACGTAATAGAAGCTGAAATGCTCCAAGTTGAACAGGAAACTTTTTTCATGTCCCTTAATAAGCTGTCCCATGCCCTTCCATCAAACGTTTGCCCTGATTTAATCTTTCCAGAATGCTTTCAAATTTGTAAATTTTGTCAAGGATGTGTTCCCATAGAAAATTTTGGGGTAGATTTTTTCTAATTCAAAGCTATTTCAATTGGCAACATTGTACCAAGAATTATCCATTACTTGGTCAATTGTTTGGACAATGAAATCACTTGGGAGTTGGTTTAGCCAGAGGGAAAATTGGAAAATTCCCCATTCTTGTCAGGTTCTTTTCCCTTTCTACCCCACCCCTTTTGCCAAATTATAGTCACTAACCCACATACTTTGCAGCCAAAAACCCTCTCTGGGAAAACCTAGGAGCTGTGCCAAGTGAGCTGCAGCTGTCTCCTGTGAAGTGTAAATGAGTCCCTCTTACCTGTTTGGCATGCAACCCAGCAGTAGCTAGAAAGCAAAAAAAGGGGGTTTTTTTGTGTGTCCTGTGATTACACCTCCAAGCAACTCAGTGTTTATGGCCTTGATAAAAATCTACCCAAGATTTTCAGTTCTCAAGAACAGTTAGGCAGGAATGTAGGGGAAGAGAAGCTAAACAAAAAGAGGTCTCTTTCTTCCCTCGAGAAAAAAGGAGGGCTGGGGGAGTTGGGAGGGATGACTGTGGTTGTAAAGGACAGCGGACAATTCAGCGTGTGAAGAACTCATCCTCTAACACAGGCCTGGGCTGCCCAGGGGAGTTAATGAGGAGTCCCCTGCAGCCTGCCTTCATGCGGGATTGTTCTCTCAATGCAGCTGGCCGACTTCAAAGCGAAACCGAGGGAACACCCAGCCTCTCCCAAGAAAAAGCCACCCTTGATGATATTTACAGATGAGCAGGCAACTTCAACAGAGAAAATGCCCTTTTGACTCCAGCTCCCTGTAAGTTCTGCTTTGTCCCAAGCACAAGGACAGGAGTGCGGTGATGCCAAGGAAGGCAGCAGTGCCTGGCTGGGCACTGCACAGGCATAGCATGTACCCTACAGAGCTGCAAGAGGAGCCTAGAGCAAGCAAGCACAGAACTGAGGACAGGCTTAAGAGGATGGCTCTCAGTCCAGCAGACCTGCTACACTTTTCTGCATGTGGGAGCTCTGTCCACAGCAAAGGGCTTTGGGTTAGAGCTGGGGATGATGAAAAGATGGGTGCTTTGTCAGGGCTGGGAAGGGTAGGAGGGAGGCCAACATGAAAGGCTGGTGCCTGAAAGCCAGTAGGTCTCAGCCCACCGATTAAACAGCCCTGTTCTAGCCCACAAAAGACCCCAAGAAACATGCAGTTTTCATGAACAGACTGTATCTCACACTGTCAAGCTCTAAACAGTTCCTCTCCACCCATCACTTCTTCACAAACCCAACTTCATTTTTGCAACAGGTTTTATACCAGCGATTCGTAGCCGCGTACCTTCTCAGCCACTTCGGAAAGATCCAGGCTCTGCAGCTTGCCTGCAAGTTCATCCAGAAGGCGCGACTGCTCCTCTTGTTTAGCCTTGAACTGGGCCTCCTTCTCATTGATTAAGCCTTCCACTTCCTGCCGCGTTTGTGCTGACAGCTCCATGGCGCTATCGGGGTCAACAGTGGAGGCATTGACCCTCTCCTCCGCCTCCAGGGACATCTGGAAATACTTGGTGATGCTATCCAAGGCTCCTGCAGAAATCAGATGGGGCTGCTCAGAAATGTGTAAAGTAACCAAAAGTAATTTATATTATGGAGGTTGGCAGATGACACATCAAGGTTAGTGAGACGAGTATCAAGCTAAATGAAACACTAGCCTTTGCAGCTATATTCGGTGCTGTTGCAAGGATGACAGAATTTGGACTGTTGTGAAAGGGGGGAAAAAAGTTCATTTTTTGCTTGGTTGACAGTGTGTCAAGTTTGCTGGATTTTGAAGCTAAGCCTTTCTCTGACCCTCATGACTGAAGTCTGCTTGCCCTGACAGCAAAAGGAGGTCCAGCCTTTTAGGTTTATAGAGCAACAGCCTGTTTTCTAAGGATTCACTCACCACGTTAGTTCTTGTTGCTTGCCCTGGGATGTCTGGCTTATGGAGTCACTGCTTGGAAACCAGTCAGAGCTTTCCTAAGAAACAACTGCTTGACAAAAGATGCTGATTTATGGAACCATTAGTTTTGGACAACTCCCAGAGAGGCCTTGAGCAGGTGTGAGGGACCCTGTGGGGGTGGCCACACGCTGCACCTGGGGGCAGCTTTGCTCTGCAGCACGCCAGAAGTTGGGGACTCCCTCGTTCTACATCCTACTTGCCTCATGCTGTGGAATCCCACATTCACTGGAAACAATCTCAGACTTCCTCCAAAGCAGGAAATTAAAAAAAAAAAACCAAAAAAACCCCCTCCTTTGTTTCAAGTTGGGATTAAGACAGCTTTCAAAATTTCTAAAGAATTTGGTGACTATTCCTATTTCTCCAGCAAATTTTGATTCTTGGCCCATTTCAGTGTGCTGATGGGCATACAAGGCTTGGAAGAACTGAGTCCTTACAGCTTGCTCTTAGTCACCAAGACCCAGGTAATTTTTCCAACCAGAAACAGCAATTTTTTAACAGACCAGGGAGAGCAAGGGAGAAGTCCAGGTGTATCCTGGAATCTGCTGCACTTTCAGCTGTTGTGTCTTGTCTAAAGTGTATCAATCAAGAGTCTTCAAGACAACTCTGTGCCCCAAGAACGTGAGGTGGCTTTGCAATGTGCAGAGGGAGAGAGGGGGTGAGGGGGCAAAACAAATTACAAGTTAGAAGATTAACCTGGTATTTAAAACCATGCACTAATTAAATCTTTGGCCACCCCACTGCTTTCTCCCCCTCCCTGTGACACTCACCCCGAACATCGGAGATCTTGATGAACTCTAGCTGTTCTGCAAGTTCTTTCACGACATGGTCTAGGCTTTTGGCATCTGCCTCCAGCATGCTCAGGTCCGTGTCTGTGCTATTGCTCTTCACTGCTAAGGCTGACAGGTTTTCTTCTATGTCGGCTATCTTAACTGTAACATCTGCTGTCAGCTTCCTGTGAAACAGAGGCACGGGACTCAACAGGGGGAGAAGGAAGGGTTGTAAGCCTCAGTGCTTCACCTCACTGAAGAGTGGTGGTTAGAACCATGCCGAGCTTCTCCCAGAGCAGGACACGTCCTCCCTTGGCAGAGCTGTACATGATTTGTAACAACATGCCTACCTAGAATACCGTTTTGTTTCCTTTATCACACAGAACTACTTTTTAATCTAAAGCACGTTTATAAACTCAAAGCACCAAATTGCTCAGAAAACAGCTGCTTTGTGTAAGATTAACTGGAGGCAGATTCCAGAGGACTGGTGTAATGCTCTTGTATCATGGCAACTGCATAGGTCAGAGTTGACTACTATGATCCATACATAATTTGTTTCCCATCCCACACAGCTACAAATGCAGTTTTGATTACTACAAGCTCATGGGACAGATTTGAACTTCAGGAAGCGGGGGGCGGGAAGCCTTAGCTTTAACACAATGGATCCTTTTAACCCATCTGTAAAGATCCCTCCTCCTCAGCAGCCGTTTCTCTAGGGCTGAAGGAAAACCTCCCGCCCTCAGCATTCAGCGTGGCCTCAGTGAGCCACAGAGCAGGCTTTAGCTAGTGGGATAACCCTAAAAGGAAAGGCAAGTGTGTGTTACACATCAGTGCTGCTGCAGAACAAAAGTGGGCATAGGAAGCTATTCCCATCCATGGTGATTCCAGAAGACTCGGGCAGTATTTTAAGCTCTCTGATCAATTTACAGCTCTCTCAATAGCCCAACAACCTGCTGTTTTCCAGGAGTCCTTCAAAGCCCAGTTCTTCTATACAGCCAGAGAGGAGCAAGAACAGATACTTATGTTAGAGAAAAGCAGCTCCTCAGCTGCTCTGACCTGCCCCAGTACACATGGAGCCCCAGTGCAGCAGCAACCCCCAGCTCTGCAGCTGGAGAGGAGGAGCTGCAGGGCACAAGCGTATAGTATCCCTAATTGAGACATTTGTGCTTTAATCCTCGCCTCTTTGCTTTGTGCAGTCCCCTTTACAATGCACAAGCAAGCTTGAGCAGTTGCACACAGGGCTAGAAGCATCTGTAAGCCTACTTGATGTTAAACTGCCCCATCTCCAAAAGCACAAATCAACCGTCTTTTGTATGCTTAACCCTAAAACAAAACACAAGGCTCCTACCCTGAGAAAAATGGAAACAATCCTTTTTATAAAGCTGGTGCTTCCCACACACACGCTCAGAGTGCAGAAAGGAACCCAAGTTTCCAACTCATTGGCTACACACGGAAATCCAGGAATTTAATCTCTCTCCTCTTCATTCTCTCACATAATAGCAGTTTGTCCTTTGCCCCGGGGGAGCGCAAGGCAAGCGTGAGTGGCTCCGAGGTAATTAGCTGCCTGGTGTGCAGTGGGAGCAGGACAACCCCTGTCCAGAGCATGGTGGCTGTGCTGCTCCTACCTTCCCTGGCCAGGTTTGTGCTTGTGGGACAGATGCTCGCTGCTGGCACTGAGCGTGGCGAGGTGCTCCACCAGCGCTAGGAGCTGCAGAGTACCTGGCCCAGCTGGAGGAGCGGAGACGGGGTGTCTGCAGCTCAGTGTGGGGCCATCAGTCACTCGAGTAAATCACAGCTTGCTGGCACTCCCACCCCTTCCCACGCTGGATTTAGCCACATAACTGCGACTGTACTCACTCTGCCTCCTCAAAGAGATTCCCAATGTTCTTCAGGGGCTCAGCAGCTGGATTTTGAGCAATAATGGTTTTAATTTCACCGAGTTTCTCCTCCAGGGTGTTGAGCGTCTGCTGGTATGGGCCAGTTACTCCAGTGATTTTGAGTGCATTAGCCCTATCCAGGAACTGCTGGGTCCTGTTAGCCAGCTCACTGATGATCACGTCCCAGAGGGCGAAGCACTGGTGGCATGGCACACAGTCGGGGAAGAAGCCCGAGTAGCCCCGGGAGCACTTGTCGCAGCGCAGCCCTTCCACCCCTTCGTTGCAGATGCACTTCCCGGTGGCGCGGTCGCATTGCGGGGTCTGGATGCCACGAGGGTTGCAATCACAAGCTGGAAGGAGGAAAAGGCATGTGTGAGGGAAATGTCACTGACATTGGCAGGGAGGAAAAAAAGAAATTCAACCAGTTGTAATGAAGTAGGGAAATGAGTATCGAAGTGGTCTGTGTCTGGATTATAATCAGCTAATTATGGATGTGTCTGCTTGGGCACGGGGGAACTGGGTATGAGCATCAAAGGGGAGAGAGACAAGGCAATAACTCTAGGGGAGACCAGGATTTGCACATCTCAGAAACAGGCACAATAGTGGAGCAAGGATGGACACTTCCTGCAATGTTTGGGTGTCAGCTGGACAGCAACTGAAGACAAAGAGCCCAGTTTCACTCCTACACTGAAAAGTAAGCAGAGAAAGTCTTTCCAGATGAGAAAAGAAACAACAGGCAAGCACATAGCAGAGGGATTTAAGAGCAAAGCATGAGTGAAATAGAAAAAGTGAACAAGGAACAACCATTTACTGTCTCCTCCAGCACAGGAATAGGGTCAGCTGAGGAGTCCAGCAGATCAAAAATCAAACACCCTCCCCTGCACCTCCCACAAACTGCACAATAAAAGGAGATGATAGTTGATTACACAGCACTTAGTGGCAGAGCTCCCTACCAGAAGATACCATGGGTGCTAAAAGTTGAGGTGGCTTCAAAGTACATGACAAATTTATGGAGTAACAGCCCTTGAGAGATCTTCTATGCAGAAGTACAGGGCCTGGCTCAGGATGTGCTCCCACCACGGATGGTGGGAAAACATTCACAACATGCATCGAGGAGCCTGGCACTGGGCTGATGTTTTGTACAGAAAACAGGGAAAAAAACAGGCAGTGAAAAGTACACTAGAACAAAGAATGTCATCGTGGGCAGCCCCTGAGGGGTAAGAGAGAAGTCTTCTCCAAAGCGGGTGCTAACAACCAAGAGCCTACACACTGCTTGTCACACTTAAGGGGGAATGAGGATGATTAACAGGTTTTTTTTAATTATTTCATATTTTGAGCACCAGCTCAGTATTCACACCTTCCTGAAACGGATTTTCATTTTTATAATATTTGTTATATTATTATATTATATTATTTTAATTTTTTTTTCGTAACTGTGTACACCCACCTATCTTTATGTGCTAGTCAGGTAAGGCCCAGGGGCTCCATGCGGTTGCCAAATTGGACTAATAAGGTTTGGGCAACACCCTTTTTTAACAAGCTTTTAGAATAAATATACACTTCTTTGACACTGACCTGCCATGAAGAGCAGTTACTCAGTTAACTTACTGATGCACAGTCATTTCTAAAAGCACAGACACACTTTGTACACAATACCGCTATCAGGAGAAACGTTTCCATGCAGCAGGGCTGCCACTTGACCTCTCCTCCTCCTTAATTACGCAGGCAGCAGCAGAGGAAATTACCAACCTGCAAAGCTGTTAATAAAGGGACAGCAGCAAAGAACAAAAAGAGAGCCTTGAAAGTAGGCAGGTCATCTACCTGCCATTGTGGCAGAGTACACCCAAACAGGTCAAGCACACATTCCTTGAACAGGAAAAGGACACACCTGATAAAAGCCTTCACTGACGCCTCCATTTACCAGGCATCCTCGAAGGAGGTTAATGGCTCAGAAAGGTCCATAAATCAATTCACACACCCCAAGCACATGCCCCCTTGAAAAAAGGGCAAAACACAAAGCTGTTTTCAAGATTGTACATTGTTTGCTTCAATGCCAAAACATTGGTGGTCTTCAGTTCAAAAATTACACAAAGAGCCTCAGCAGAACAAATCGCTCCTCAACAAAACGACTTTCTTGTACAATGTGAGTATGATAGGCAAGAGACAAAAATAACTTCTGCTGCCTGCACAATTGGGCAAAATGGTCCTTTGTTCTTTGAATTATACCCTGACACAAGAGATTGTTTTTACCTTACATTGAAAGTGCTTAAGTAGTAAGCTCACCATGGAATACGTTCCCTGCAGGCAAACCATTGAGTTCCTGTTTGGAGGAGGTCAGTTAACCCTTCTGTCAACTAATAAGGCCTTTGGTATAATGATGAATTGTCCAAATTCCTCTGCATAGAAAGAGGCTAAATGGGATGTGGTTTTTCTCAAAGATCCTGAGATCTGATCAAGTTACATGAATACTTGCTGCTGGCAAATCAGGTCACTATATTTACTCACGGATTTAAAAAGCTTAAAGTGAAAAAAAAAAAAAAAAAAACAAACCGAAAAAACCCAACCATGTTGGTAATTCTATGCCTGAATACCTGCATGTTCAGGAAAGGCGGATGACATAGCTTTAGTAGCATTTACATGGTAATGTGGATTCCAAAATCTCTGGAGCCAGAAAATCCTGGGGGAAGGGGAGAGGAGACTTTAAATACTAACTCCTTAGCAAAGGGAAAACCCAAACTCCACAGCTGCCTATTGGGAGATGATAGAGCAAAGAAGTTATTTATTCTAAATACAGCACAACAGTTGGAAGAATCATCACATTTCTAGAATTCTACAAAATTTCCAAACTGAGCTCTGTGGGACCCACAAGAAAATTGTACAAGGTGGCCAGAAACATTACTGTGGGTTATTTATCCGGTTTAGGATTCTCTATCGAGCCCAGAAGCAGGCAATCCCATCTCTGCATTACTTCACCAGTGTGAATCCAACACATATAAAATGGCGTCCAAAAGGGCTGGTTTCACACTTGCTCTTTCTTTTCTTCATGATCTTCCAAAGTCATTAACTGTGCACAGGACCACACCAGCTTTCAAACCAAAAAGGAAAACTGAAGATAGTTTTCTCTCTGAATAAAATCACATAGTCTTCGGAAAAACAAGAAAAAGCCTCCCTCGGAACTGGAATAAGACTCCAGTAGATTTTATTTTCTTTCCATTTTGAAAATTTGGGAGGCATTTCTACATGCTGGTGGTACAGTCTCTCTAGCTACAGCCCTCAGCCAACCCCTTACTGTGGCACTGACTGAAACATTTTTTATATTTTCACAGAAGCATCACCACCAACTGGCTATTTCACACCCTGTCAGGGAGCACATCCAAGGCTCTTGCAGAGAGCATCTTCCCTTTACAGCATGGTGGGGATCAAACCCTCAACTGACTTCTGCTGTGGTGACTTCTCAAGAGAAGGTAAGCAAGCCTGGGACAAGACTACATAAAGCCTTCCAGGTAGTGAGGAGCACCTTGAACACTGTGGGCCACCAGGCAAATAGCTCGGTGCACAGGTTTCACTTCTTTGCCTCATGCAACACCTGCTTACCAAGCACCCGCTAGCTTCAGCCTCTGTGGGATCTCAGGGCACAACTTTGTCCTAAAGTGACAAAAAGGAAACTTTGCCCTAAAGGGACAAAAGCACAGTGACAGTGGCAGGATCTGTGTGAAAGGAAAGGAGGACCTCCTAGTTGGCGTGGACTGGAAAAAGCTAGCACAGGATTGGCAAAAAGCTCATGGAAGAATAACTGCGTGCCAAGTTACACTTGCATCATTCATGATGGTGGGTGCACATCCACCAAAAGGATTCACGTGACATTTGATTATCACTGCCAATGAACTGGGATGTGAAAACAGGAGACACCTTGATTCCCATCAACTGCTAGAAATTGACCAAACGCTCTGCCAGAATGATCCAGCATGTCATGCCCAGCATTGGTTTTGGCCAAAGTACCCCAGCATCATGTCTAGCCACAGCGGAGTTCTTGCTCCTCTACCACCTCCTTCATTAATGTCCAACTATTCCTATGGCCACCATGTGAGCCAACTCCTACGCAGTCGCGTGCTAATGATCCTCTTTATTACAGCCGTTTTGCTGGTACTCAAACTGGCTAATGCAAAGACAGTCTTCAAAGTATAGCTTGGCTCTAGAGTAGTGGAGGCCCCATCCCTGGAAACATTCAAGATCAGGTTGGACAAGGCTCTGAGCAACCTTACCTAGTTAGCGGTGTCTCTGCTCACTGCAGGGAGGTTGGACTGGATGACCTCTAGGGGTCCCTTCCAACCCAAAACATTCTATGATTCTGGAGATTTCGGCTCTAACCAGCACACTCATAAGTCTGAGGTAACACTTGAGTAGCTATACCACTTCTAATTTTAGCATATGCCTGGTTAGTTTTCCCCAAGAAGAAGAAACACGCAGGCACATCTAGGGCTGCAGAAGCATTTCAGATATTATCCAGTAGCTAGTGATAACTTTATACTCCACCTAACATAGCATCTGTGGAATACGGAAAGTCCAGTAAGCTCTTTTTAAATGCGTTACTTACACTTACGTGACCAGAAATTGGGAGAAGTGGTTCATTTTGCACTGTAAAACCAAACAAATGCTGACTTTACTGCAAGACATTTAGATGCCTTAACCAGTTTGGGTTGGAAATGGCCTTCGAGGCAAATGGTTGATTATTCTCCCTTCATACAGAGGGGTGGATCAAGGCCGGGGTGAAGGGCTGCAAGTTAGCACAGACTGGGCCGCTTGCTTTGAAGATCAGTTAGAGAGGGATCAAATCTGTCCCCGGGTAAGCAGAGCAGGACACTGCAGTACCTCCCATGGAAAATACAGTGGAGGAAAAGAAGTTTTTTTAAATCTTTGGTCAAAATTCTGAGGGTTTTCAAAGGAGCATTTACTGAGTTAAACAATAGGTTTCTGTTTCAAAATGTCATTTTGGAACTGGGTGTATTGTTTTCTTTAATTGAGTGTTTAACTCAATCAGACATTCTTCTGTGGCATACTCTGACTTAAGTGAAATCACATTTTTGACAGGAAAATTTTCTAGCCAAATTCTTCAGTCAGGCTCGGCTGATTAGCAGCTTATGAATATAAAAGACTGTAGCTGCAAGTGTTCACAAATGCATGTGCACATACATGCGTGCATTCGAGTATCCATGGGTAATTTTTTTACCACCTTGAGCAATGCATTTCTCTTTCAGTAATTTTTGTTACTGATCTTAAAGATACAGGTAACACTCATACACGCATATCGAACATAGACTTGTAGAAACCTACAGGGAGAAATCCCCAAGAAGTAAATGACTAGCTCAAGTGGTTTGCTTCAAGCCCACAAGGATCTTTCAGTTACTCTGACAGCTCTGCTGCCTTTCCCACTCATTTTCAATATTTAGAACTCACTTCCATTTAAACTACTGTAATTTAATATACGGCATATTTGCATGTCACTTAAACTAAGGTGTGTCAGACCAGTTGACACTACAGCCAAGAGGATATTACTGATACTGAAAGGGCTGTATGAAGGTCAGGGGTTTAATGCCTTATTGCAGGATGCTAGGAACAAGCAAGTGTCATACATCACCCTACACAGAACAGAAATAAATTTTGCAGAAATATTTTCTTTACTGCTTGAGATTGGGGACGGAGAGCATCAAATGTTTAACTCACCCGCAGCAAAAAACCAAAGGCTTTGTTCAAACATGATTTCCTGGCATCGCTTCCCAGTGGCAGTGAGGCACTATGATGATAAAACCATTCAGCAATTTGTAAGGTTGAAAGTTTTGCAGAGCTAGCAAATTTCTTCCGAATAATCAGCTATTGATTCAAATTACCCTGTAAGCATACTGCTAACTCCTCAGCATTACGATTTTCAGTACGAGTGTTAAGAGAAGACGCCAGCCTAGAATTACTAGACTTGTGTTGCCTTTTAACATGCTAGCAGACCTTGCCAAAAGGGCAATTTTCTGGAAACGATCAATATACTTTACAATATTTTAAGACCACAGATCAATTGAAATTATGAAACTTAAAGTGAAAATTGTATCATCTTCTTTAGTGTAGAATTTGTCTGACTTCCTTTAGACACTTATCACAGAATGAAAAGAAACATCTGCTAATCTTTCTCCCTGCACCATAAACAACTCCTGTAAAAGCAGCCTACGCGACTAGTTTAAGACCCAGGTGTTAAATCAAGACTACGAAGCTTATTCTTAAATGGCAATGGGGTAATTTTCAGTGAACAGATGTTTCGGCACCAGGTACATAACAAAGACTGAAAGCTGAGAAAAACAACTTTCTGCTAATTTCTACAATGAGTAGAAAAACATGACTTTTTTTCATCTTAGTTCAATTAAATGCTGTTTTTTACAATACTCAAGTCCAACACAGAAAAATATCGGCACAGGTATGCTTCTTGTAAAGGGGAGAGAGCAAATACAACCTTTCAATCTCGTACAGTACCTTCTACTAACTGCACTCTGTTCTGTTTGCTCAATTTATTAAAACGATAATGATAGTAAAATTGTCATCTCCTTTATATGAAATGCATAAACTTCAAATAGCTACTGTGCAAGTGAGGTGCATCTGCAGCCGCACCATATCTCAGAAGCTTCCTGGGAGCCTGGAGCCTCCTGCCAGAAATGTGCTTTGCAGGTTGAAGTCGGAGCAGAGGTCAGCATGCCGAGTCCTGCACTTTGGTTGCCAGGCTTTGGAAAAGCTCCAGCAGAATGCCTGGCAGACTTGAGTTTGATGAAATTTGTAATCCTATTATTTACTACCTTAGGAAGGATTTTTATGCACACGCACATGTTCACGTGCAGGCTCGTGCGTACAGCTCACAGCGTGCGCAACGGCCAGAAGAGTTCTGCAAAGGGGCTGGCACTGACCCTGAGCAGACAACACTCACTGCACAGCTCCTGCTCACTGTAATCCTCACAGGGACCTGCACGAGGCCAAGACAGACGCACTGGGCTTTTCCCTATCCTCTACACCTCTCCTGTACTTGTTTCAGGCATTACGTTAAATTAAATGAGTAACTGTTGTGCTTTTTTAAAGCATGGGGTAAGCAGTCTCCAAAGACCCAGTCCTACAGACTCTCTGTGGTGTGTAATCCCCAGTGGGTATCTGTGGGTGGTGGGACCATACCCAGTACCAAGGGGACGAGATGCTGCCCAAACATAGGCACCCACTTTAGCTTGCCCCAGCTGTCTGGTCCCAGGGTGATCTCTGGGGACATGCAGAGAGCAGGCATGGGATGACACTTTCTCTCCACTGCAGGGAACACAGACTTCAAATCACAGCCCCTAGACCAAGTGCAAAAACCTACCTCCCCCGGCTTCTGCTTCACCATCTCTGACCTTACCAAGATTTCTAGAAAACAAGTCAGAGGCAGCAGCCAGCAATGGTCACTGCCATGTCTGGCGGGGAAGCGTGCACCAGTTTCCAGCAGAGCATGCTGGGACCCCGGGGCTACATCCACAGCTCGGTGCTACTGTGAGCACCTGGGAACCCGTGGCGGTCTTTGGCCCCCGGCCTGTCCTAGATGGGCCATTTTGTACATCTTCACATAGCTGTGTCCAGAGGTTACTTGCAGGCACTTGTGTTCACATGACATCACTGGTTTTTTTTTAACTGATGAAAACATTTGTAAAGGGTGTCACAGCAACATGGGCAGTACAGTCCCCATTTCTCAGCAAGGGCTCATGTCTGTTGGTGCTAACAGCCTGAAGACCTCTGGTGAAGAGATCACACATTACTGTCCCTTGAGTGATACACCCTGCATTTCCAACCTTGAGCTACTGTAGCCACTTGCCCCGCCAGGGGAGGATCCCATCCTGGAGTCATTGGGACCGATGTCCACACCTCTACATCAGCTCGGTGGCCTGCAGCAAAGACCATCCATTCATAGTCACACGGTTCAAAGCTCTCTCGCCAGTCCTCATCCAGATCGGTTTGTATTTTCTTCCTGAACGTGGCACAAAATGAGTCCATTTCGGCTGCCTGGGCCAGCATGAGTGTGCCACAGAGGGCAGGTGGCCAACACCGTGGCCAGGAGTCCACGTGTCCCCCTGCAGCTGGAGCCGATGTCTTTGTGATGAATCCCTGCCTCCGTTCCAGCTTCGTCTTGGCCACAAGCCATATTTAAATTATTTTCCAAGGGCACTGCTCTGTAACTCCTTAAACAGCACAGTTTTCCCATTCGCCTGCAAACCACTTACCACTGGGAGCTGCTACCTGCCCACATGGTAGCTGCACAGCTGCCAGCCTGAACATCACCTCTCTGCTTGCTGGGACTAAATGAGGGCTGAGAAGTTGCTTCTCTCTCTGCCAAGGAAGGATGGGAAACGGGGCGGGAGGCACTGACAGCACCGTGCCAGGGAGACTCGGCAGCACCGCGGGGCTGGATGCATGCCACAAGCGAGCACGTGCTTGGAGCCCAGCCCCGGGCACCAGCTCTCCCTGCCTGCCACAGAGACCTCCTTGGATGCAATCCTGAAGGAAAATCTGTGTTTCCACCTGAGTGAGTCTCCCATGTCACTTGGGGGCAGAAGCAGCGGCGGGTCAGAAGGAGAGCACAGAGCTTGCGTGGTAAAAACAGGCTCTGAAGAATATATCCTCTCTTTACTTCAGAAACATTAAAAGCAGGTTTTCATGCTCAAAAGACAGCAGAAACTCCATGAGAGGCCAGAAATGCTGGTACATGGCAAAATTCTGCTGATAAGGTATGCTGATGGACTCCACCAATAAACCCCGATGGAGACAGCCGATACCAAGAGACAATCCCTGAGCCAGCAGGGTCAGCACCCCTCACCACACCAGAACACACACAGCCTCCCCGAGAAACCCAATATGTACTCAGGAGCCGGGACAATTCCCAGTCCTTTCATCTGCAGCATTAACCAAGTAGCTGTGACCTGCCTATCTGGTTAGATAATGGCTCTCTGAGGTATCTCTATTGTAAAGGATTTATTAAAGACCACAGCAAGCACATTCCTCCCTGCAGGAAAAAATACCTTAATCTACTGCAAACCCTCCTGGCAAAGGCTCCTATTTGAACAGATCAGCGATACAAGTTTGTTCTGGTCTGGACAGTGTTTGAAGTTTCTTTTCCAGCTAATGAACAGGCTTGTTTATAATGAAAGGACAGAGAGCATCCAGTTTTCTAAACAAGGGACTTTATGGTGCTCTGTTTTGCAGCATGTAGCTATGGCTAACCCACTGCGTGCATGGTCGCTGCTGGCTCCTTTATGTTCATCTGAAATATAAGGAAAGTCTCCTACTAAATCAAAAACCTTATTTCTTCAGCCCCGGCCTCCCTAACAAGACACAAGAGGAGACAGGGGTCTTCCACCACATACAAACGAAGGGCAAAGGAAAGTCATTTCCAGACCCAAACACTTGTGTTTTCTTACAACTCTGGCTTACCTGGCAGCATTGCAACCTAACAGTTAAAGAAGAACTGGTTTCTACACCGAGATGATTTTTTCTAAATAATGCTCCAACAAACAATAAAATAAACCAGGCAAGCATTGGGCCCGGCTCCCACTGCACCTCCTGTCCCCGGAGGTCACCAAAACCCTGGGGGCAGACCCTGCCATGCCTTCCTCCCTCATTTCCAAGGCTCATGCAGGCACTGGCGGGGGTCACCAGAGGGGCTGCTCCCAGCAGGGGTGTCCCAGTGCACTGGGGGGGTGTCAGTGTGCCCAGCCACCGGCCACTGGGTCACTTCCAAAAGGAGCAGGCAGGGCGCACCAGCGCGGGCGCCGGGCTGGGACTCACCTTGGCACTCCACGCTTGGGTCGCCCCAGAAGAGCTCCTGGCACTCCCGGCAGGTCCGGCCTCCGAAGCCCCGCATGCACTGGCACTGCCCCGTGAACTGCCAAAAAATACGAAGAGACATGACCACCT